TAATTTACAATAGCATCAATAAGAATAAAGTTAATCAAGGAGGTGAAAGATCTTTGCAAAGAAAACTATAAACACTAATGAAAGAAACTGAAGAAGATACAAATCAATGGAAAAACACCCTGTATTTATGGATTGGAAGATTAGCATTGTCAAAATGTTGATGCTACCCAAAGTGATCTACAGAATCAATGTAATTTCTATTAAAATCCCAATGTCATTGTTTTCACAGAAACAGAAAAAACCCCTAAAATCTGTGGAATTACAAAAAAATCCTGAAGTGTTGAAGCAATCTTGAACAAGAATAAGGTATCACATTTCATGATTTCAAATTATGTTATAAATCTACAGTAGTCTAAACAGTATGGTACTGGTAAAAGCACAGATATTGACCAATACCTGGCACAGAAAAAATTAATCATATAGGGTTGTGCCAGTCAATCTTGATTGTCAACTTGGTTGAATTAAGAGGCTCCTGGAGAGAGGACTGGATGATTAGGGAACTGACTCACCGATGGGTTAACTGATGAGCTCACAGCTGGAGGGGGCACCTAGCTGGGGACAGCGAGTCCTGTGTCATGCTCTTCTGTGATGCTGTTTCTGCCTTGGAGCCAGCTGACCACGGACTGAAATCACTAAAAACCATGAGCCAAAATAAACCTCTACTTTAAATTGAGAGTGTCAGGTATTCCATCCTAGCAACAGGAGAGCAGACCAATACAATGGGTCAACAGATCCTGCACAAAGGCAGCAAGGATGCACAATGGAAAGAAGGGCAGTCTCTATTCACATATAAAAGAATGAAATTCCTACAGTATCATCTCTTGTACCATACACAAAAACCAACTGAATACAAACTAAAGACTTTAATGTAAGATCTAAAACTGTGCAACTGTAAAACTTCAAAATGCAAGATTATTTGGCCTTAAAAAGAGAAGGACATTCTGCCACCACAACAACATGGACAAAAATGGAGGATGTTATACTAAATGAAACATGCCAGAGACAGGACAAACGCTGCCGCCTCTCACTTACATGCAGAATCTGAAAGAAATCAAAGTCATAGAAGCAAAGAAAGAAGAGTGGTTACCAGTGGCTGGGAGCCAGGGGAAAGGGGAGATGTAGGTCAAAGAGTTTAAACCTTCAGTTATGAGATGGTAAGTTCTGTGAACCTAATGTCTGACATAGTGTCTACAGTTAATAATAATGCATCAGGTACCTGAAATTCGCTGTGGGAATAGATCTTAGGGGCTGCCACTACACACATGAAAAGATAACCACAGGAGGTGATAGATGTGTTAATTAGTTCAATAATGTAATTATTTCACAAGGGATACATAGATCCAAACATTGAGTTGTACCCATTTACATAATTTTATTTGCCAATCACACTTTAAACTAGAAAAAATAAGAATAAAAGTTCTCAATGCTGAGTCCTCAGTTCACAGAACCTGATGATTAACCTGATGTAGGACTCAAGTGTGGGTATGTATTTTCAGGGCTCAGGGAAATATGGAACTTACTGAAGGGTGTTTATGAAAAACTGTAACAGCCATATAATATGTGCAAAAATGTAGTGTTTAATCAATTTTTTGCAAGTGAATGTCCCTGCAAAACCCCATCACATAGAACATCATCATCACTCTAGACACCTCAGCAGAGTGGTTTTTAAACAAAACAAAACTCTCCAAGTTGCAAAAGCATAAAAATGAACTCAGCAAGAGTATTTTTCAAAGATCTCCCCTATTGATTTTAATTTGCAGACAAGATTGATTGAAATAATTTGTTGCTAGTGCTGTACTTCTGGCATGGAAAGACTTCAATAAAATATGGCCCTAAGATTTTAATATTCTGATTTCTTAACCAGGTTGTTATTTCTCAACACGTGCCATCAACACGAAAATTGTTATTTTGTGCCACCAACACGAAAATTCAAGTCAGTCTTAGACACGTAACTTCATTGTGTTGTGATTGTTTTTTGCAACTTTTCATGCATCATCTGTGATTTACAACCTTCCCTCATTCCAGGTATTTATGGATTAGTCAGCCCTTTGTGATATAAATGGGAGGTATTTTATATGTGCCACAGAAAAGTAAAGGTGAAGATTATGTTTATTCTCTGAGGGTCAGCCACTGACTGAAGGGTGCCAGAGCAAGAGAAAAATCTTGAGTCATCCCACAATTCAATGGCAGGATTGTGTGACAGGTAGATTTGGAGCTATCATATCCCTAGCTGTGAGACATGTGCAGAATGCAGAGGTCAATCCAAATTAGGAGTTTCAGAAGTCTGGTAGGTGACACTCTGAGCAATACGATGGGAAGTGTGGACCAGGATGGAAGCAGCAACAAAGCCAGGGCACCAAGGAGGTCCAGAGAGAAGGTCGAGCAGGAGCCAAGGACCTGTGCTGTCATGAGAAGCTGAGAAGCTGAGAGAGAGGCAGGGCTGGCCTGGAGGAGGTGGCTAAGGGGTGTGTGTGTGTGTGTGTGTGTGTGTGTGTGTCTGCGCGTGTGTGTACGAGGGGGTGTTAATTCAGCTGCTGTGCTGCCAGGCTGTGCCTTGATCTAGTAGCTGGTGACAATGGCAAGGGGGCCACATCCGCATCCCCTGGAGGCACCTTATTTAATCTGCACAAAAGCTGCGTATGGATGGACTGGGAACAGCTCTGGGCCTGCTGACAGGTAAAGCAGGATTCTGCTGAAAGTCTGCATTTCCTTTTTGCCTCCTTGACACATTTTTCTAGGAAGCACCCCTGAAGTTCCTTTTCATTTGACCCAGTGAGCCAAGTGGGGCTGCCCTAAGAGGGAGGCTCCACAAGCCCGAGGGCCCCGGAAGTGGGAGAAAAGTCTAACTCCTCAGATGGTGGCAGAAGACAACCTCATGGTGGAAATGGGGCACATGAAAGCATCTTCGGTCCAGAAGAGACTGGAGTCTAAAGATAAGCAACCCATGGGCACCCTTGCACTCCAAGCCCACTTAAAACATTGAGCTAAGAAAAGTCCCCTGTAGGCCAGGAACCAACTCCTATGTCTTTCATCGTTTGCTGCTGTTAAATACAATCTCAGTCTTCAAATAACAGCTTAGGGTTATCAAAAGAAGGTGACCACATGAATTTTCTATTCAATATGTAAAACAAATTAGAGTGGTTTTGGCTACATCTGATATTAACCATGAGTTAAATTCTCTGAGGTTGTTCTCTAATGAAGCTATGCTTTATAATGAAAAACTGCTCTCTCCTAAAATGAAAGCAAAAAATAACAAATTAAAAATAGAATCAGAATGAAAAATAATGAAAAATAGAAAATGAGCAAAGTGAATTTTGAAATCTCATTTTTAAAGATTGATTAGATTTTTGACAACACAAAGTACTGGGGATTGAACCCAGGGCTTCATGTTAGTTAGGTAAGCACTTGCCACTGAGCTATACCTCAATCCCCAAAAGGTGAGTTTTGAAGCCACATATAATTTTAATTTATATAGTATTCTTAGTTTTCAAACTTCAGCCTATAAAATTCACACACACACACACACACACACACACACACACGACCAGAACTACTTCCTCCCTCCTTTTTCCTTATGAATTGATTTTGAGTCCTGAGTTGTTGACCCATTCCTACAATTCACTGGTTGTGGGCAAAGCAACTTGGATCTCTTGGTTTAGCAGGACAGTACTGCACAGCAAGTGGCGGCTTTGGGTGCTCTGAAGATGAAGAACAGTGAGTGCTTAGGAGAAACTAAGGAGGGGACCTGGGGAGTGTGGGCAGGTGGAGTCAACTCGAATTCTGCAAACTGAGGGTCCACAAGATAGGATTCCTCCTGCTCCATGCTGAGATGTCTGAAGAGCAGGGGCTGACAAGGGGCTGGGCTTAGGATGGAGCCCAGAGAGGATGGATCAGGGCACCCATGTGGGTCTGAGTTGCAAGAATGAAGTAAGTCATGTTGTCTTAACTGCTGACATTGCTCTGTGTACCCTCTTACCTCCACTGAGGGGAACCCGCAGGATTGACAGCATACAGCAAACAAATGAAAGTGATGGCTTTAAAAACAGCAAAATGCTCTAGATCAGTGGTGGCAAACCTATGACACACATGCCACAGCGGGATGTCTGTATCATTGAAAGCTCTAAAAGGTTCACCATCACTGCTCTAGTGAATGAAAGGCAACTTCACAGATAGTTCCAAGACAATACCTTCCTTGAACCTTTTGTTTTGCTTTGGAATACTAGAGATTAAACCCAGGGCCTTCATACTGAGCTACATTGCCAGGGTCTTTGCCATAGAAACAAAATATAATCTTTCAATCAATCAAAAACTTTTGTTTTTTCTTCCATTGTAGAACAAATTACCTGCTGTAGTACTTTATGATATTGTGCTTTGTAATAAGAAGTATGTAATTTGGTCCTGATCCTCTGTTCCTGCCACAGAATTCTAATCTCTTGAACATTTCTGGGTGACAGTGTCTCTGTTCTGATGAAGCACTGTTTGCTGGGCACCTAGATGGAGCCTGGTCACAGAAAGACTGAACCAGGATGAGAAGCTCAGAACATGTAGCACCGCCCTCCATCCTCTGGTCAGGGGAAAGAGTTAACGTGACTTGTACAGTGAAGCCCCTATAAGACTCCCTGGGGCCTGGGGAGCTCCAGGTTGCTGAAGGAATGGATCGAGGGACATGGTGAGCCTGGAGGTGGCCCGGAGCCCCTCACCTTGCTCTGTGTATCTTCACCCAGCTGGTGGGTAAAAACACCCCCACACATTTGGGTGACCAGAAGTGCTGTGAGAGCGAGGAGAGGAAAATGCTTTCCCTATCATATTGCCCCACCTAGAGGACCACAGACACAGTCTGCTTTAGATCGACCTGTACACTGGAAGAAAACATGATGGACACGAGAAACACTATGAGGATGGTGTTACCCTCAAACCCATACTTAGAAGGAGGGTAGTGGCTGGGATGGAAGCGAAGCAGATGGAGTGCCCACTTGGCTGGTGCAAGGCCAGCCCCTTACCGTAGTGCGGGATGATGGCCCAGGCCATGGCAGAGGCGTAGATGCCACCGATCATCCAGAACATGCAGAGCCAGCTTAGATGCTCACCCCGTTTCTCCCGGGCCAGGACTTCGGCAAAGTAAGAGAACACAGTGGGAATGGCTCCCCCGATCCTACGAGAGGGACAGAGAACACGTGAGCTTGGGGACTGGACAGCTAACATGAGATGCGATGGCCAAGCCACAGAAAACTCCTAATAACACATCCTCTCTCCCTACACCAGCATGTCGAGAATTATGTGTTTTCAATCATTTTATCACTTTGATATTATAGTGTCCTGCAACACCTTGAACCTGCAATTAGGCAATGTGGCCAAAAGGTGTCAGTGGTGCTCTGCTCATGTGACTTAGTACTTAGCTTCGGAGTCCAATTGGCTTTCTGCTCAGTATTATTAGATGACCTACTTGACATTTATTAAGTTGTAATAATTTAGTGAAAACTAGTGAATATTTTAATTAATTCATTTTTACAAAGAGACACTGTGATATGTACTACCCATGGGATAGGAACTCTGGAAGTAATTCCAGACGTCTACAGGGACTCTCTGTAATCTGTCCTCCCTTCCCGTGACACCATGGCAGCTGGTCCTGCAGCCCTATCAAACACAGAACCAAAAGGGCCACTACCTCCAACCACTGTAGTCCCAATCCAGTCCACCACTGATGAGTGGTGTAAATGGAAGGGACCTGTAGAATCCAATAAGAAGCTGTGATTTACACACCAATGGAATGAGATATGATGCTTCCTTCCAGAAGGGGCAGTGATAAGAGGTAGTCCCACTGATCTGGAGAGCTGACAGGGCCAGTGGATGATCTCTGCTCAGGATGGGGATTCTCAAACAAGAATGAATGGAATCAGAGTTTCGTCCATTCAGGGATTTCATAAAAATTTCAAATAGGTCTTGATCCCCAATTTTAGGAACCACTGCCTCAGAAAGACAGGATGGTAAAATATTACTTGTTATTCCCAACAATATGAATTCTTAAATATACTTAAAATCCATATGACAACATAAACAAATTTGCTGTCAAGATATAAAAAGTGTTTATTCATTTAACAATAACTGATTCACTTAGAGCCTTTGATATGACAAAGAAGTATTTGTGTTGATTTTAGCAAATGCAGTTTAGGGAAAGGCCATTTTCTGCTGCAAACTGGATGTACTACATGAACCACAGGATTTAGACTATTCTGCATTAACTTGTGGATTAAAATATGGCACATTTCATGCATGTCCTCTGCTTGGAGTGACACTGTAGTTTATCTGTCGGTGGATATAGGTAGGTTACTTAGGCCAATCTTATTTAATCTGTGAGTTGTGAAATTAATTTGGAATCTATGAACAGCATCTCAAAAATTAGAGATGAAAAGAGAGCACAACTCCAGTAACAAGAATAAGGATAAGCATAAGTTCATTTCATGAAACTTCTGTTCGTGTTATTAACATATTTGTAGTGCACAATGTGTACATATAATGTATAAGGGGTCACTGTGTGTTTCTTAGTGAAATTTTCTATTTAAGAAGTTTACAAATCCCTAACTTACATCATCTATATCTGTTTCCTGGACTATGAATGTGGTGATACCACCCAGACTCTAGAGATCTGATTCTCCATATCTTCAAATGAAACACAAGGTGATGTAGGAGCAGCACCCACAGAGGCAACAACCAGGTCCAAATGCATCAAGCTAACTTTCCAACATGAAACAAATGCATGAGGGAGGTGGTGAGAACCAGCTGGCACCATACCACCCCTTAGTGGACCCATGTATTTCTCTCGCCCACTTCCTTAGGTAGCTCATGCCATAGAGAGCTAGTTGAGTTTAAAAATCCAACAACATTTGAATAGAATTTAAATGGTTGCATTCCAGCACCCCATTTTAGCAGAAAAGAAAATGTGTCCATCACAAATCATTTACTGGTACTCCTTTTTTTGTGTGACATGAAAAATCCATTTATAAGCATGATAAGTCCTACACAGGTCCCTATTCTGTGGCTTCACTTTTAGATGCATAAAAAGAATTCTAGTTTTTACTGACTTTTCACAATCTAATTAACAATTCATTGGGACCCCAGATGTTCTGTATATAACAGCCACAACTCATACTTTGTGAAGGCACAACTGGATGGTCAGATATGTCAGGAACCTCTGGAACAAGATGAATGTACTCCATCATGGCTAACACTTCAAGTGGAAGCCTGCCAACTTGCTTGTTAGCTTTCAATAAATTAAAGTGGAAGAGAACACCTACTATTCAGAGCTTGTAAGCAATCCAACTGGGTTTGATTCAATGCTTGGTTTTTTTTGTTTTTTGTTTTGGTACCAGGGATAGAACTCGGGTCCTTGCACTTTCGCAGCAGGCAGCGAAACCACTGAGCTAAATCCCCGGCCCCAGTGCTTGTTTTTTAAGGTAGTTTTATTTTTTGCACCAATGTCTCTCACTTTGTATAGCAGACTACAAGACACTCTAAAGCCAAGGGATAAGTAAATCTGATAAAAACACTGAGGATCCTATTTCCATCTTTTGCAAAAGTCTTTAAGCTAAGATATCTTTAGAATAGTCTGAGCATTTTCTATTGTGGGCTCATCTATTTGAGGGAAAACAGTTTTCATCTTACTATGGCATCTCTTGAGCAGAGAAAAAAATTCCTGGTGCAATGATGTCAGCTGTTGCTGGTGATTCATACTCTCTCGACAGCTGGCTGGGGTATTCCTCTTCAACTCCTTATTGCCTGGCTCAATGGAAATGGACCAAAGAACTGAATTTCATGCTCTCCAGTGTTGGAGCTGGCACAGCAAGTTTCCTAAGATAGTCTGTTCTGACATTTAAACATCTTAATGAATAGAAACATACACTACCTCTGGGGTCAATATGACCGCAAAAGAAGTTGAAGGTGTTAAGGTGGAGGTTTAATACCAATGTAGCCTCCAAAGAGTTGCTGAGCTACTCTATGCCTTAGTCACTGCAGTCACCCCTTGCTCAGACGCTCGGGTGCTCCTAGTCTTGGAGGGAGTTCACATGGAACCGGTCAGAAGACACTGGGGGCTCCTGTTGGGCACCTGTGTGCCTTCTGAAAAAATGGTGTAGCTGCTATAAGTACCACTGATAAAAATATCTTCAAAAGAGAAAGTAGCTGTCTGCTAATATAGTTGGGCTCCTACAAAATGTTGGAGGACAGGAAACCACTGCCACAACCCAGCCCCCAAAGCCTACAAATTAGAAAACATTTCTCATTGTTGTTCTACCTCATGCCTTCATGAGAAAGGCTAATACATCTCATTACTATTATTTGTTATGGTTTATGTTGTTAATCGCGTTAAGATTCAATATCTGAGGGTATATAAAGAGATATAAAATATTTCAATGGAAACTGTCAAATTCCCAATGTATAAATAGTTCTTAGGTAGGGCTGACTTCACACACACACACACACACCTAACTCAGATATTCGGCCATGTATGGACACAGTTTAAGTTGTCACAATTTAGGGGGTGCTACTGGCATCAAGTAGGTGGAGACTGGGAAGATGCTGAACAGCCACCAGTGATAAAATAGCTCTCCACACAGAAAAGAATTATCCAGCTCCAATATCAATAGTGCTTGATTGAGAAACTCTTGCAATGAATGGAGATTTTAATGTAGAAAATATAATTAGATTCATATTTTTTAAATCCATAATATAAGACATAGTTATTTTTACCTTACCTGGTAGGTAATACATCCTTAAATTCAGTTAACAAGGAAAGATTATTGTTCATAACATAATGATAGCTACTGCTGAAATTTATTCAAGCTCTTTTTTTTCCAAGCTCATTTTTGATGAATGTTTACATAAATGAAGTAATTGGATCAGAGTTTTATAATGAATTTTTCTCAGTATCAGATATTAAGACTATTTTATTAGCTGACAAAAATTGTCAAATCTTAATTACCCTTGATAATAAAAGGCACAGAAGGAATAATCACAGAAATCCACACTGTATAGGAAGATTATCCAGACTGAAAATAATTGAATTTATATAAACGAAGCAGAATACTGATATCCAGCTTTTAGAGTTGGAGTAGTAGATAATTTTGATGGAAGTAATAATAATTTTTATAAATAATATTAATCATAAGGTTTCACTACAATAATTATAAAAATAGAAAGAGTCTAAAATTTTTGTATTAAAACATATTCCTAGAATAAACTGGGGGTTCTCTCCAATGCACACGTATGTACACACACACACACACACACACACACACACTACCTCAATAGGACTGCATGTGGCTCCATCTAGGTGTTTGGTAAATATCATGAGACATATTTATTTTCTTAAAAATTTAGGGCTAATTTACTAGTGGGATATTGTTTAAGGCAAAGAATGCACAGCCTCAAAGACAGAATTTCTTGTGTTGAGTAATGCAAGACATGTAAGTTAAATCAGGTTGGCATAGCAAGTGATGAAGGGTGCCAAACACCTCACAGAGAGACTGGGAAGCCTGACTGTCCTAATCCCTGAAGTCTTGAAGCCACACCTCATACTACTCCAGCTCAGGTGGCAGCCCAGGGGTGGGTGGTGTTTGTCCCTGTATCTTATCCTACGGAGTCATGCTGGCTTCTCTGGCTTGAATTAGCATCCCACAAAAGCCCCCATGTGAAAAGATCAGTTTCCAGCCTGTGGAAGGTGGTGTAACCTTTAAAAGGCATAGCCCACTGGGATGTCCTGTAGTCACTGGGAGTAACCTTGAAAGGGGCATTAGGACCCTGGCAACATCCTGTCTTTTCCTGACCACCATGAAGTGAGTAGCTGCTCTGTCATGTGATCCTCACCACGATGTGTTGCCTTGCCACAGGCACAAAAGCAATGAGGCAACCTGCCATGGACTGAAACCTCCAAAATTGTGAGCCAAAGTAGACCTTTCCTCTTTTTAAGTTGATTATCTCAAGTATTTTGTGACAGTAATGGAAAGCTGACTGACACACCGGTTGTTTGGGCAAAAAGAGGTTCAGGATTCTACAGTGAAAAAGGAGGTTATAGGTAAACAAGAATAATTGTACTTAAAATGGTTTGAAGTATGACATAATTTTAGGGGAGAAATTATGGAATGTCTCATGACTTCTTGC